CCACTGAAAACGGGGGATGGGCTTCAACTCTGACTTGCTTGCTCGTGTGTTTTGTTCGTTTTTCAATACATAGTGTCGTTTGCATAACAGCACACAACATCCTCCCCCTGGAGAGAACAATCCGAAACCAAAACCAATTACAACTGCTCAAGAAGCAGAGGTTGTTGACGAACAACCGCATTGAATTGCTCTGGTTATTTATAAACTAAAATCTGAGGGAACTTATGTACCATAAATTTCTTAAAACAGGGAACTTGTTTTCTTATTGACCTTGTTTTACAGGAAAAACAGCAATCATTATCAATCCCTAGCACGGATAAGTTATCAGTCCGACGGCGATCGCGGCTCTCTTCGATCAACACGCTCTTTGGAACTCCAAGGAACAGCTTCGATTCAACAATGATGCTCAGAAGTACCAATCAGGTTTGTTCTGGTGTTTCGCTGGAAGGTCTTATCAAAAAGCTTCCAAAACTCTCTCAGACCTTGGAACGGAATCTTAATTGTATAGCGTTTGAAATGCTACTTGACAGTAAAAGCCCTTTGGGGGATGCGGCACGCATTCTACTTCCATTCAGAATCGTAGTGGCTTATTGAATGCGATGTGGCCTATACAATGACTTGCGGTGGCCAGCCGATGTACAAGTCAGTGTTTTATCCTCCCAGACGAATCTGGTACCAATTTACCGTCCCCGGAGGGTAGAAGGCTTGGTTGGCCTGGGCGGGAGTCGACCCGGGATTCGAACCGCCTGAGTAGTAAGCGCGCCATTTGTCACTACAAACCTCCGCCTTACTTACCACGTGAACTAAAATCCCTCAGTGCATCTGGCAGCCCACTTTGAAGTGTCGAATCCTACAGTTGTGCGATGCTCTAGTACACGTAAACGAGTTCTGGCATCTCAATTCGGCTAGAAGCTAGTCTCAGAGGGTTGTTTGACTTTCTGAGCACGAACATCATGTTTGTTTTGCTGGCAAGCATCTGGCACCCACACTATGGGTGCCCGGGGGATGAGTCTCTGACAAAGTTGGCGATTTTGACTGCTTAAAACCACATCGAAAGATTCAAGTAGCAACTTCAACCCCATAACTGTACCAGCATTACAACAATCAAAGTAACCAGGTATCCATTCAAATTCCATGGCAAGTTTCAATCTTCTTCCGGTTATCAAAGACGTGCTCTTCTGGGGCTGTTCCTGCGT